CATTAAGGACCTCAAAACCAGGCGAGTGGCCGGTGAACAAGATTTTCGGTTGGCTGGTTTTCAGGTGGTCAGCCGGCGGTCTGTTTCCGCCCTACCAGTGCCCATTCTGGTAGCGCACGACCCAGGGCTGGACATTACGAGTACCTTCACATAGCGCTTATCACTGTGCGGAGCCTAAGGAATAAGATGTGCGAGATAGATCTGCTTGTAGATGGGTATCATCCCGATATACTTGCATTCACTGAAACGTGACTATCTCGGGACATCACGGACGGTGAAGTACATCTGTCTGGCTATGCACTATTTAGATGTGATTGCTTTGTTGGCCGACAAGGCGGGGGCGTTGCACTGTATGTTAGTTGTGAACTTGACGTTTCACGTACCTACATGTTTCAGTCGGCAGATAAAACTGTCGAAGCTCTGTCGGTATTGATTAACAATTCCTCAGCTCAACTAACCGTTGTACTTGTGTATAGAAGCCCTGGGAGTGCGTCCAAAGAGGTGGTTGACTTTATTCGTTCCCAATCCGCAAACAGGTGTTTGATACTGGGGGAATTCAATCTACCAGAAATTTGCTGGGCAGATCTTTCTTGCAACTAGGCGGAAGGTACTTTCGGGGCAGATCTACTTGAGCTTACGCTATTAGTGCCGTTGCATCAGTTCGTGGACCTCCCCACTAGGTACATGGACGCCCAACTCCCGTCTATTTTAGATCTATTGTTTGCCAAGTCACTAGACTTCGTAGGTGACATCACTTACAGCTCTCCCTTGGGTGCTAGTGATAATGTTTGTTTATCGTTCAGGTGTAGTCTGACCAGGCGTCACCAGAGCATTGCTAAGCCATTTCCAAACATATAGCGCTAACTATCAGGCAATGCGTATCAAGACTGCTGGAATGCGTTGCGAAATCTCGGTGGTTGATACGCTTCAGACGGCCTGGGATAAATTTAAATCTTATCTCACGGAAGTGTCTACTCCCTACATCCCGCTTGCGAGGAGAAAAGAGACACGAGCGTGGCCGCCGTGGATAGATATCACTGACAAGTACCTGCTCCAGAAGCGTCCTAGGTGCTGGATGACCTACCGTGCGGCTCCATCAACTAGCACCTATGATGGATACCGCGAGAGTAGAAATAGGTGTAAACAACACATAAGGAAAGCTCGGCTGGTGTACGAAAAGGAATTGGTTGATGGAGCTTCGGAAAATACGAAAAAGTTTTTCGCTTATGATAAGAGACGCTGTGGTTCAACTTCGGTGATCCCAACTTTGATGCGGGCCGATGGAACTCGTGCCTATGCGGACTCAGATAAGGCTCGTGTGCTTGGGGAACAGTATGCAGGAGCTTTTGTACGGCAGGCCGCGTTGACTAGCGTTAAACTTGTCCCTAGAGTCCCTGAGGGTTCTTAATTAGCTGACTGTACTGTGGTGAAAACGCAACACCGTAGGCTGCTGTAAGAACGGCGTGCTTCTAAAGCAGCTGGGTCTGCTTCAATTCACCCGAAGCTTCTGCATGAGCTGGCAGTGGAACTAACTGGACCGCTGACGATGGTGTTTCAGAAGTCACTGGACAGCTGCACATTACCTTCTGAATGGAAGGAGGCTGTCATCTGTCCTATCTTCAAAAATCGCGACAGGAGTCGGTCAGCCAATTATAAGCCAGTTAGTCTGACTAGCGTCGTGGTCAAATTGCTTGAAAAGTTGGTGAGAGATTCGTTGGAATGTCACCTGAATAAATTTAATTTACTCAGTAGTGCACAACATGGATTCCGGAAGGCGTTATTGTGTTTGACGAATTTGTTGGTTGCTCGTGAAGCTTGGGCCGATGCAATGAACAATGGCCACATAGTGAATGTGCTTTTCGTAGACTTCTCGAAAGCATTTGAAAAGGTACCCCACTTGAGGCTATCACAAAAGCTGAGGTCCTACGGCGTATCTGGCGGCGCCCTTCACCGGGTATCTGCGCTGTTGCAGGGAAGACGCTAGTATTTGAGTGTGGGTCGCGGCTTATCCTTTAGGCAAGCGGTCCATAACGATGTCACCCAGGGCTCGGTGCTTGGACCAATGCTGTTCTCCATCTACGTAAACGATCTTACTGGAGAGCTTGGGGTATCATCCCTATTGTTTGCTGATGACCTTAAGCTATGGAATGCTGTAAATGTTCCTGGGGGTTCTGATGCCATACAGCATGCACTGGACAGACTCTGGGACTGGTCTACTTTGTGGCTACTGCCCATAAATCAGGCTAAGTGTTCCGTCCTTCGTATAGGCGCTACTTTCCCGCCTTCGAGCTACGTACTCGGTGGGGTCGAACTCCTCCTTGTCTCCAACCAGGTAGACCTTGGCGTCGTTCATTCCTCGTCTTTGCATTCTGGTGACAACTGGAAGAAGGCTGCAAGTAGGGGTTTCAGAATGTTGTGGTTAATACGCCGTTCTTTCGGGGTCTTGACTGCCGACATATTTGTGAAGCTGTTCTCAGCTTTCCTTCGGCCCCATCTGGAATACTGCGTCCAGGCTTGCCCGCCCAGCTTTGTTCTGGACAAAATGGAGCTCGAGAGGGTTTTGAGAGTAGGTACCAAATGGGTCGAGGGGTTAAGGGGGCAAGCGTACCCCGAGCGTCTACTTTGCTTGGGTATGTATTCAATGCACTACCGACGGCTTCGAGGAGACCTAATCCTTACTTACCGCATTTTAACAGGGAAGGTTGGACCGGACTTGAGCTGGCTATTTAGCCCGGCCAGGTTGCCTTGTCTTCGCGGTCATCCCATGAAGCTACACAAGCCGCGTTCTGACCGGATCAGGGCGAAAACTCGGTTATCGCGTAGAGTTGTTGAGCGCTGGAACTCGCTTCCAGAAAGTGTAGTCAGTGAACCTACGGTTAAGGGTTTCGAGCGTCAGTTAGACCCTCTTGGGTGGCAACACGAAACCTTTCCCTTCTCCTGACCATATCCATTTTCAAACTTTTAGTTCTTATTCTGTCATTCTCTTCACTCTTTGGTGTTATCCTTCATTTTAATGACTTTCATTCCCCTCTATCTTCCATGTACTTTATACTTCTTTCTTGCTTTACGTAACCTACACAGTGGGGACTGCTAGTGCAGGGAACGTGGGCAGTAATTGGTTGATCAGGGTGTGTTTTGGGTGTTTCGTTTTAGATCTATCAAGAACTAGCACCTTATCATTTCCTGGCTCAACGATTTCCTCAAGAAGGAACAATCAAGGGATTTTCCTATCGTTCCAGTCCATCTGAATCTGAATCTGAACAGAGACAACAGCTTCGGAGATATCAATTGAAGTGCCGGATAATGGTGTGAGGTTCACCTGCGATGAACACAGCTCAGCATGCATAATGGTCAAGACTTAGATCCAGCCATTTGTAACGGACCATTTGATCAATCGTCATCGGTTTGTACCTGAACTAACGTTCCTATCCAATTTCCCGTTCGCTTCGTTGATTGTACAATTACCGTTCATAATCGGCTGCCTTTCGAAGCACAACTTGACGCTTAGTCCATTCCTATGTGCCCTTTGTACTACGGCCCCAAATCCTAGTTGCATCCATTCGACCACTTTGCCGCACCTCTCCGTTATTTGTCCTTCGGTATATGTCCTCAGTCAAATAAATAATTAAATAAAAATTTTATTCTTGAATTCACCGAGACATACCAGCTCAGGTATGATCATTACGCAGTCTCTTGCCTTTACCTCCCTGCGTATGTCTGACTCACCATATGCTACTGCGTCGCGTGTTGTCCGCGCTTCAAGACAAGCATGTATGGTTTGGTATGACTGATGCATCAAGGCTCGACTGCGCTTCCTCACCAGCACACTTGCCTACATTCCACTCAAGACTCCTTTCAGCCTTGTGATTTGTCTGTTTGGAGTGGCCTTCTGATTAGGCCGTTGACAATGCTATCAATACCAGGCCGACAGTATTGCTGCATCAATTTGCTTATGGTATTTGTGAACGCATCGCTACTATGCTGTTGAAGGTAACCGCTTTAACCGTTTTGCTGGTGTCCGAGCGAAGATAAGGATACTCCAGAAAATCCGTTATTTCAGCGGTTAACGGATTGTTATCGATCAGTGCAACGATTTCAAAACTTCTGGAATATTACATTGCCAGTACGTGATTAATAACCTCCAGATCGGCCAAAAATATCGAAAAACAGCTAACCTTGGCAGTTGACCTTCCTATTCCAGAAGTCGAAGGTCAGTAAGAGACCTATAAATACAGGCATGGTCCGCTGCATTTGTACATTTTATGTGGACACGATTAAAGTGTTTTGTTGTCAAGTTCCTTGGCATGCTGCTTTTTGCTTCGGTTGGACTAGCAGTTTTATGGAGCAGTAAGTCATCAGCATCCTCATCAACAGCAGTACACCAGCCATTTGAACTGATGCTCCGCTGCCATACAACCATGAGGACCTATGAAATAAAGAATAAGAAAAGGGAGACAAGGGGGACTTACCTGGAAACCTTAATGCCCTAAGCAAACATTCAGGGTCAAGGCGCCTACACCTTGTGTAGACAACATTCCGTCACAAACAGCTAGCTATCGTGCGAAGATAAGGCGGCATCGGCGAGACAGCTTCCTTGCGGCTTTCACTGCCACGCGTCATAATCAGCCATTACCCCGCAGATAACTCAGCACCAAACACACTTTAAACAGGCAGTCCGACTAGGAGACGGCAGCAGACACGTCAATGGTGTCGGTTGCGAGCCATGTCCTGCAAAGTCTCGAGCCAAGTAAAAGGTGAGTCACGTGGACTCCAACCCGGAAGGCGAGACGGACCAACGGCACCAAGTTTGGTCGTCAGTGAATACACTCCCCGCTGCCAAGTCAACTTCCGTCCATCTCGAGTCCTGTGCCACCCTGTACCTGACAGGCTAAACAAGGTCATTCTAGGTAAGCGGTGACCAGGCATGCGTAGCACGTGCCCGAGCCAACGCAACTTATTCAGTGCTATCTGTTGTTCTAGGGAGCTAGCATGATTATCACCACCTGGTACTCGCCTACTCACATCATCGTTGCGGACACGCTGGTGCCATCCGACTCCAGCAATGCTTCGCAGACAACGATGATCAAACATTTGAAGGCGCCTCAGATCTTCAGACCGAAGGGGCCAAGTTTCACTATCATAGAGCAGAACGGCCCTCACTGTGGCCTTGGATACCCGGCCTTTCAGACGAAGGGAAACTCCCTTCTGTCACCAAAGATGACGCAGATTCAAGAAGGCAGCTCTGGCTTTTGCAATGCGTGAGCTCACGTCAGTTTCTATGCGCCCATCATTGCTGATGCAGCTGCCAAGATAAGTGAATTGATCAACCACCTAGATTTCCTCGTTAGCAAGCGTCAAGGGGTCATCAAGTGGCTGGTGGTCCTGCAGCAACACTTTGCACTTTGAAGGTGCGAAGTGCATACCGAATAATGGGACCACTCTGGATAGGCTATTCAGGGTTGATTGTGCCGCCTCAACATAGTCGAAAAGCAAGACGATATCGTCCGCATAATCAAAATCAACTAACCTTTCACCAGGCAGCACTTCAACGCCTACATCATGTGATTCCGCAAGGAAACACTCCATGATAGAATCCACGACGAAATTTAACAAAAACGGGGAAATCAGGAAACCCTGACGAACGCCACTTGTAGTCGGAAAGCTATCCGATAGGACACCATAGACCCTGACACGGCCTGTAATGTTCGAGTATAGAGCACGAAGAATGTTCACATATTTCGTAGGAACACCTTTTCGCGCAAGTAATTTGAACAGAATCGATCGATCGACTGAATCGAACGCACTCTTGAAATCGAGGAACACAGCTATTGTCGGTCTGCGGTATGTGTGGCGCTACTCTAGCACCTGCCGCAAAGTAAATATATGGTCTATACAGCAACGTCCTGGGCGAAAACCGGCCTGCTCTTCCCTAATCCGAGATTCCCGTTCTGCATTGAGGCGACGAACGATAATCGAGGCCAGTAACTTTGTCACAACTGGCGTTAGGCTAATACCCCTTTGGTTAGCACAGTCTGTGCGACTGCCCTTCTTGTATATTGCCACTATAATCGATTCGCTCCAATTAGCCGGCACACTCTCTTCGTTCCAGATACGTTCGAATAGGGAGGTCAGTGCTTTGCAGAGGACCTCACTTCCATCCTTAAATAGTGCAGGTGGGAGGGAATCCGGGCCAGCGGCACGAAAATGATTGAGGGCTGTGATCACGTTTCGGACCTCGGCCTCCGACGGAGGCTCTAAACTAACCGTCCATGGCACGCCCTGCATCACCTGAGAAGAAAGAGATCCGGGAGCAGGAGGCCAGCTAAACTGATCTTGAAAGTGTTCAGCCCAACGAGTCATACGGCGCTCCTTATGGTGTATCAGCGCACCCGCGCTGTCTCTGATTGTCTCACTCACGCCTGGTTTTCTGGGACCAGTGGTGCGGATTAGCTGGAAGAGCTTCCGGTAATTGCTTACTGCTCCTGCCTCCTCCATTTCTTGAGCCCGACTGGTCCACCAGGCTTCCTTGTCAGCACGTAGGCTTTAGTTCACGCCTAATAGCCCGTCTGGTTACATTGTGTTCAGAACTAACCGGGAGGTGTCTTCTAGCTTCCAACTGGTTCACGGACCTCTCGGACATCCAGTGACTAGTGCGGTGACGATGGATAGTGCCACAAACAGATGCTCCTGCGTCGTGCATAGTGGCCGAGATCCTATTCCACTGAAGTTCAGTATCATTAGGACAAGACAGCGAAAGTTCGCTATGCAGTGCTTCTTGATATGCTTGCCTGACCGAGAGCTGCGACATTTGCTCCGTTGCCAATCGGAGGAGACGCTTTGTGCGCCTCCCGGTAAAGTTCATGGAGAAACGACAGCGCACCAAGGCATGGTCAGAGTCGACTCAGGTACTCCAGTACGAGCGGCAATCCAGAATGGAACCGCGCCACCTGTAACTTATGGCTATGTGGTCAATTTGGGTCCATCGCTGGCCAGCTACAGGTGGACGCCAAGTGGCACTTCGGCGTCCACGGTGTCTAAAAGCAGTGCTAGCATGAAACAACTCTTGTTCCGCACACAGTTGCAGCAGACGCTCGCCGTTGTCAGTCCGTTCGGAGTTAAGTCCATAACTACCACCCAGCTGAGCTTCTGAAGAGCTCAGACGCCCTACTTGTGCGTTCATATCCCCTGCAAGTACTATAATATCTGAACTAGTAGCCCTGCGTAGTAGGGCAATAAGTGCCTATTTCGGAATCACATTTAGTGAGAATATTATAACCGTTGGGCAAATCGTTGAGGTATATTGCAATTAGCACCTTTATTTTTTTGCAAACTAGCACCGTATTCCAATGACTGTGGCTTTTATTGTTGCCGGTGGGATCGTTTCAGTTCCGGTCTTTTTTATCCATTGAATGGACCTTGGAGGCAGCAGATTGGTTACCTACGCCTTGTTCAACTATTCCCCAAGCCTATCTGACGCTCACAGCATGCTTGCAAAGTCAGTTTTCAAATAAAAGAGTCAAAAAATGTTCCCGGCGTAATTTATCAGGCCAAGATATGTCCGAATTGAGTGTGGAGATAATTCGTAGGAATGCCGAAGAGATGTATTGGAAGTGGAGGATATTGGGCTGTAATGTTGTGTTTTGGACGTTATTCGCAGTGGAATAAGGTGTCCTGGTAAGAAGGTATCCCAAAGCTTGGCGGTATGTATAGTAGCCTCGGTTGCGATGGGCGAGGGTGATAGACCTTTTGCGGAAGTATTTGGTGCGCGGGATAAGGGTGATAGCGCAGTGTTTTGTGGCGCACAGTTTCCTTATTTGGGATGATAATCAGCAGAGACCGATCCGTTCGAAGCCTTTGTAGTAGCAGCGCCATTTTCTCGGCATATCGGGACTGTGGACGATGAAAAGCACATGTGAACCTGGTCGCAAGCATTACATAAGTCCCTATCGGGGAGTGGAGTAAGGGACTTGGAAGTAGTCAGGGACCACACTGCAATTAACCAGCTAGGTCTGGTTAAGAGTGGCTAACATTGGGGTGTTCGGTAACGTAAATGCCGCAGACGGCTTCTTATAGTTGTGACCGTACCCAAATGGAACTGTTGATAAATTTGACGCAAAACATCCTTTGGTACTAGTAGTCCGGGACTCTGTACTTTCACTGTTTGTACCAGATGTCCTTTCTTTCCGGCAAATCACTATATGTTGCGAGTTGCAGCCCGGAAGGCTATGAATGCAGACGGTGTTGTATTAGCGCCCGTCCAGTTAAAAAAGTGGCGATCGCAAACAGAGAAAAAATAATATAGACGTCCTTTAGCCAAACAGTCCGAACGCTGTCGACGTTGATAGCCAGCCTGTTGTTTAAGGCACGTGTAATAGCATAGCCGACGTGAGAGATGTGTAGTGGTCAGCATAGCTTTACATATTTACTTTGTCGTACTCAATGTTACCAGATATCCTCTGTACCTTTCTCTTGAAATGAGGAAATACATACCAGAATGCACTTATTCGTAATCTGCGCTCATGTCATGCCGGTTTTTGACGGGAACCGCTTGTGTGTGCGCAACCAGCCTTCCAGTTTTCCCGAAAACCGGATAGTTATCGTAAAATTACGCCTGAACGTCTGCTCCCGGTGTGTCCGACGTATACGACAGGTAAAACTGGTGCGAGGGTTTTTCCGCCCCAGTGATCCTTTGAGCTATGCTGTGTGGTGTTTTTTACACCTTCAGAGCCACTCATACCAGGTTGGTTATTGGTTAGAAGTCAGACAAACTCAGTCTTCTGGTCCTCCAGGTTGGGTATTGGAGTGAGGTTGGCTCCTTACTCCATGAACACACTGTCTTTAGTTCAATGCAAAAACCACGCTGTCCTGTGGTATGGTTTTGGTACCAAAGGCTTTGGTTGGGAAACCTAATCGTTCTCCTGTCTAGGCCTGTGCAACCTGACAATATCCGTCCCACGCAATATACCATGACCTTTTCTTCTAACAATCACTTGATGCTGTGGCCGTCGCAGAGGATTATATACGATGCCCTATCTGCTGCATCGAGCAGGGTGGATAGGGCTTTGGATGTTAATGCTCGGGCCTTCCCGTCTTATTTGTCACCTCTTGCTCTTTATCATCCTTAACTTCCCGTTCCAAATTCACTTTCATCCCCCGGTGTTCAATCCCCCAATTCTTGACCCTCCCCACCTTGCTTGAATAATCGCTTGTCTTCTAGCTTTAACTGATACACAATCGCAGGACGTCGCTCCAATCCAGTCGATATGTCCATGTTCAACCAAGCGGACAATGTTAGTCCATCCGTTCCTTTTTAAAGTCCTCGATCCTCAACGTACGCACTTTCTATAGTTCGGCAAACAGGCAGCACTTGCCCGAACACTCAAAACCCTCTCGATCGATATTTGCTGTTTATTGAAAACCCGCCTGCAAGATTGAACTTCATGCTTACTCTACGATCCTCCACATGCGACACTGGCTGCGAAGTCTCACTGCGCCTGTCTGGTGATGATGCAGCTTCAAATGCGGGTCAAGCTGGCATCGGCATTGTTTTGTGTCCCGGGGCTGAAGCTGACCTGATCGACTGGATCTCTGTCAACAGCCGGATGTGCGTCGCTAGTTTGGCTGGCTCGTTCCAGGCTTCGAAGTCGCGCGGTGACTAACTGTTTTTGTTTGTCATTTGGGCTCAAGCCCCCACAAACTGCAGCCCTGATTCGGTGAAACATGCTTTCTATCACCAACTAAACGAGCTTCTTCGTTACAGAAGAAGCACGGATATTGTAATGCTTGCTGGTGCTCTAAGCGCCTAAACCGGAAAGTTGTCTTCTGATGGGCTTCATCTGGGTGGCCAACATGATGTAGGCTCCGTAATGATAATGGTGAGTGGTTGCTACACCTGTGTGAAGGTGCACGTCTCTCTCTCTCGCGAGCACTAACTTTCGACAGAGCACCCACAAAAGAGTGACGTGGCTCCCACCAGTTTCTGGCCAACCCTGGATGCAAATCG